CAGCGAGGACGTCTTCAGTGTTTCCATGGAGGTCACCGACCGAGTGGGCGGCTGCTTCTGCTGCGACACTTCCCCTTTCCCTGCCGGGTCTCACTGGGGCCGCCCTCCCTGCCCTGGGAGACTGCGAGAGGGGAATGTGAAAGAAAAACCTAGCTCTGGCTTGCAGCCGTGGAGGGCTGTGGAGGTAGCCCCGAGGACCCCCCACATGCTCCAGGGGCCCCGAGGACCCCCACCTTGGCCTGTCTTCCTCCCCGCGTGCCAGCTTTCTCGGCTCCCAGCCAAATGTGCCTCAATGCTGCAGGGCCTCCTTGGGGGCCCTAAATGCCTGTTTTCCAGGAAGTGACATTCTTCAAGCGAAAAGTCCATTCTGTGTGCTTTTGCTCAGTTCTTGGAGTTCTATATTCATATTCAGTTCTTCCACTTTACTGACTCACATGCAGTCTTACACACACACACACACACACACACACTCAGTTCAAAAAGTTCACAAAAAAGGCAAATAAAAGGTTAACTTGGATGCAAAAATATTTTTAATACATGCAGTTTTTTCATAATATTCATCTTCCATGAACTTTTTGAAGACTTCTCAGATGGATGACTTCAAAATAAACTTATCTTCTAATTCCCTTCTCCATGAACTTTTTGAAGTTCTTGTGTGTGTGTGTGTGTGTGTGTGTGTGTGTAGAGAGAGAGAGAGAGAGACTGTAGGGACAGATACACACATGCACACACACACACATCAGATTGTGGCAGCTTTTGCAAACTGTTTGAAGCACAGAAAAATAACTTGCCTCACCCAGCATCAAAGAATGACAACAGGCCGGTTCCAAAGGCCTTGCTGCCTGCTTAGCAGTCTGCAGCGTGATTACTGATAAGCATCTACTCGCTCCAGTAAATAGCAGCTGAAATAGAACCATAACACTGGTTCCCGGAAACAGTAACCAAAGTCACAAATCATAAATAATAAAGGAGAGAAAAATCCTCTTTTCACTTAATGGACTCAAAGAGTTCTTGTTTCTCATTTCTGCTAATGGCCCGTCTCCCCGGGTACCAAGCAGAGCTGGCTCATTACAGGCAACTCGAGCCTGTGTGCAAGCAGGATGTGGTCCAAAACAGTGCTGGTTTGGAAGCAAGAATGCGCCTTCTCCTGGAAACCAGTTCTTTCTCAGGCTGACCGGGTTCCCAGGTTTGCTTGCGCTCAAGCCCTTCCGTGGCTGAGCCTTGGATCTGAGGCAGGAGGGAGAACACAGGTCAGCTCCTGCTGCTTTGCAGGAAGCCCCAGCTCTGAGTACAACCAAACACTACGTTTTCTGTGTTCTCACCTTTTTGGCATCTAGATCCAGGGTCCTAATCCCCGGATGGCAGCCCTAATCTGCCTTTACCCACGCTGGGCTGCTCTCCCACCCAGGGAGTCTGTGATCCTAAAGTCCCCACCTCTCTGTTCCTGTTTTCTCACCAGATTTCCATTTCCTCAGGGCCACTGACATCAGCTGAGGGCTAGAGGAGAAACGAATGGAGTGGACGTGAGTTCATGCCAGCACGTGGATGACTGAGGCCTTCTCAATCCTCTTAACACGTTCTCTTGCTAAAGCAAGTTGGTTGTGAAGTTTGAGAGCTGCTTTGGCAGCGAAGTATCAGGATGGAAAAAGGGGACCTACGGGACCAGATTCGCACAAATACCCCTGGGGGGCGCTCAGGCTCCTGACAGTGGGGAGCCCCCTCTCTGGGAATAAGCTGTCCCTGCATCCGTGTGGGAGACCCAGATGAAGCTCCTGGCTCCTGACTTTGGCCTAGCTGTTGTGGCCATTGAGGGAGTGAACCAGAGGGTGGAAGACTGTTCTCTCTTGTCTCTCCCCCTCTCTGTAATTCTGACTTTCAAATAAATAAATAAATCTTTATACAAAAGATTGCAGGCCCCATTAAGCGAACAAAAAAGATAAATGGAGAAAAAAGCGCACATCTATCTTCTAGATTTCAGAGCGCTGAGGAGAAAGAGGATCTAAGACCCTTTTAAAAATAACAGTTAAAGCTCTCAGCAGTAGTAGAAGGAAGAATCAGAGCAAACTTCACAGTTCTGAAGGGCAGTTATTTTCCACCTAGACCTCCACTCCAACTGAGGCAAACTCTGTAAGACAATGACAGCACAAACGTTTTCAGATATCCAAGAGCTCAAAATCTATGTACTTTTATTCCAGAAGGTTCTCAGGGATGTGCTACTGAAACCAAAAGAGTATGCCAACAAAGAGGAAGACACAGAGTTTAAGAAACAGGGGATCCAACAGAACAGAATGTGGCTGTCGTCCCGCGGCGACCGTGCAGGAGGCCTACAGAGAACCAGTTTAGACCAGAACAGGGAGTGAAGGGTCCTAGTGGGGGAAAAAAAAAACTAAGGCAACCCATGTGGCTGGGCTATGCAGAAAATATTGACAACAATATAACAGAGATAATGAAACATTAGAAAAAAAAAAAGATCTGTCTCTTTCAATTAAAAATAAATAAGTAAGGGGTGGGGGAGAGGCAGGTGTTTGGTCCACTGAGTAAGATGCTGCTTGGGATGCCCATGTCTCATGTCAGAGTGCCTGGGTGCAAGCGCAGTGTCACCCCCGATCCCAGCTTCCTGTTAGTGTGTGCCCTGGGCCCTGGGTGGCAAGTACTTGGCACCTCCTACTCCTACTCACGTGGAGACCCAGCTCGAGCTGTTAGCACCTGGTTGTGGCCTGGCCCTGCCCAAGCTGTTGTGGGCATTTGAGGAGAAAACCACAGGATGAGAGAATCTCTCTGTATCTGCTCTTTTTCATTCAGATAAAAAATACCCATAGTCCTCTTGGAAGTATGCTATGGTTCAACTGCAACTACAGATTAGTTAATGGACAAAAAAAAAAAAAAAAAAATAAAAAAATTGGTGGTACAGAGTCACTGGAACACCCACAGCTCATTTCAGAGTGCTTGGGGTCCATCCCCACCTCTGCCTCAGATCCAGCCTCTTGCTAACGCACCTGGGAGGCAGCAGATGGTGGCCCAAATACTTGGGTTCTTGCCACTCATACAGGAGCCTGGGATGGAGTTCTTCACTCCAGCCTCGGCCTGGTCCAGCCCTGGGTGTTACAGGCATTTGGGGAGTGCATCAGCAGATGCGAGATCAATCTCTGTCTTTCTCTCTGTGGCTCTGTTTTTCAGATGAGTAAATAAACAGATCTGAAAAAGAAAAAAAAAAAGCCACGGCACTCATAAGAATGTGTCTGATCCTGAACTCTCAAAAAAGATCTGGGTCACATTATCTGTTTCATAAGTGAGGGGAGAAATGAGTAAGAGGTTAAGTCACCAGCACAGGCCACAGGCTGGTGAGCTGGGCTTCCAGAATTCAAACTATCTCTGTGCCTTCGGCCACACTGATGCTCGGGCTGGCAGGACCACGTGCAAGCATGTAGGAAAGCCACCACTTCTCAGGCCCTGTAGGAGCCATCCGCCAGCGTCCTCAGCTCCAAACTTTGAGAACAGCCATGATGTGAACGCATTTTATTGAAGTCTGCGTTCAGGTAACGGTGGATATGGGTACTGAGGGCAAAAAAATTTTTCAACTTCAAGATCCAGGAGGCTTATCAGTTCAGCGCGGTGCGCCGGCGCAGCACGCCGTGGCAGCGGCCATTGGAGGGTGAACCAACAGCAAAGGAAGACCTTATCTCTCTCTCTCTCTCTCACTGTCCACTCTGACTGTAAAAAAAAAAAAAAAAAGATCCAGGAGGCTGAGCAAATAAGGAGACGCTGAAGTCGTCACTGGAATTAAAAGATCTTAAAGTGAACTTGAAGCAAGCGTGTGTTATGTCCTGTTCCCGCAGACTGGGAAAGAGAAGTAGACTGAGTGAGAACCAGAGTATGGGAAAACGGCCCCACTTCCAGCGCCGCAGGTTGCTTTGCAGCGACAGGACAATAGCTGGGAAATGGAAACAGGAGAATTTCTGAGGGACGTTTGGGAGGGAAAATGTGGCTTCGAGGGAGGAAAGCTGCGCACCTTTCAAGGTGGAACCTTAGACCAGAACCAGCAGGAAAAGGTGGAGGTTTGGCAAACAGGGTTTTAAAGGGATAGGGCTTCCCAGGGTTCCTTGGAAGTTGGTAGGACAAACGGGGTGCAGCGTGGGATGAACCCCGGGGGAGAGTAAAAGGGGTAGGACAGGAGGGAAGTGTGGGTGCGGGCTTGTGTGCGCCTCGCTGCACAGGGAGGGAACTCAGTGGCGTCAGCGGCTTGGCCACCGGCGGTGTCCTAACGTCCGATCAGCTCAGGACGCACGAGGGGCTGCGCGGGGGCGTTCGGACTGGCACCCAGCTTCCCGCGGGCCCTGCGGACCAGAGCTCCAGGCTCTCGCCTTGCCAGTGAGAACCGCACGGCCCGCAGGCCTGAGCCATTCAGTCGGTTCGGCGCTAACGGCCGCGCGGCGGCGCCCTCCCAGCGCCCAGCCCGTCGTGGGCACGGGGCCGCGGGCGCGCGCTGCACCTGCGCCGGGGCCGCCGAGTCCGGAAGGGAAAGTCCGGCCGCGGGGGGGGACGGCCCGAGGCAGCGCGCGCCCAGGCTCCGCGTCAACCTGCGGCCACGGCTCACTGCACTCCGGGCCCGGCCGGTGACATTAGTCACGCTGAGGGCATTCGCAATCTGGCAAACCCCGGCGGGGCCTCGCAGGGGAACCGCGGTCGCGTGACGCAGGCTCCCACGCGGGGCGCCTCGCGCCCGCTGCCCCGTGACCCAGCGGGGCCCGCGGGCGGCGCCTGAGAACCGGGCAGTGGCGCCCCGCGAGGGCCAGCGGCAGAAAGGCGACGACGGCAGGGGCGGCCTCGTGCGCCCCGTCGCCCCCTCGCGACTCCCCACGCTGGGGAAACCAGCACGGCCGCCGCGCTTCCGCGCCGGCCCAGGCGGCCCCGCGCTAAGGGGGCGTGGCCAACGGGGCGCGTGCGCGTGCGGCGTGGTCCGCGCGGAGGAGCGCGGGACGGGGAGCAGGACGCGCCGCGCGTGCGCGCAGGGGCCGCGGCGGGCGGCGGGTGTCGAGGCCCGTCGGGGTGAGGGGCGTGAATGCGGGGCGGGCTGCGAGCGCTGGGCCGGGGCCTCCTGGGCGGGGCCGCCCGGTTAGAGAGGCGGTCGGTGGGAGGGCGGCCGGGGCGGAAAGGGTGAGGACTGCGGGGGCGGGATGTCCCCGGGGCGCGAGGGCGAGGGGGGCTCCCCGAGGAGGAGGAGGAAGGGCGAAGCGATGGACGGGGCTGGGGGGGACCCCACTACGCGCCACCCGCCAGTGTGCGAGGTGTGCGGAGTGGCTGTGGGCAGCCGGCGAGCGGGGACCAGCTGGTCTGGAGGCCCGGGGCAGCCCAGGTCCCCGGCAGCCTCCTGGGGCTCCATCCAGGTCACACCTGGAGGCTGGAGCAGGCCCCCTGACCCTTCGCACCGCCTTTTTTTTTTTTTTTTTGATGTCAGGGTGAAGGCACCCCTGCACGCCATGTTTCCGGACAAGCCCGTCCTTATAAGGTAAACACTCCCCTGGGCGCCTCCCCGCCCTGTAAGGTAGGTAGAATTCCGGAGTAGCTCTGGCCCTGCACTGAGGTCGCGTTTCAGCTCGGTTAGCTAGTGTGAGGAACACCCTGCGCCCGCATCAGCTCGCACGGCGGGAGCCTTTGATCTGGTCCTCTGGATTTCCAGAATTCGGAATAGACGTTAGCTTAAGTTTCCCCTGCAGTTTGTCAAACTGGAACAATGTAGGTAATCGGGCAGCGGGGCAGGGTGCAGGCAGACGCGCTCCAGACGGAGATGTTCAGTTTTTCCCTTTCTAACTCAGAGGGCTCGTGGTGGAACATGTTTGAGCCATTCCGACGGGAAGTTTGACAGCTCTGCAGAGGAACACGATGCGAATGGAAGAGCCCTGTCACCGTGAGTCATAGCACGCCTTCCCCGACAGGACTTTGAGGCAATACCCTTCGGTGCTGGAGCTGCCTCCTGGTAGCCGGCAGTTAAATTACAGAAGTGGCAAAGTGGCAGGGTTTACTTGAGTTCTCTGTTTGATCGTGTGTACCTCTGAGTCACATTGGAAAGGATGAGTACCTTTCATGTGGCCCTAATGAGTCAGCTCATTAGTATTACCCAACTAAAAAGAAATCAGATGCCAGTTCGTTCTCTAAGGGTCACCATTCGTTTTGATAGCAGAAGCAGGTTCCATAGGCAGTGACGGAGTGGAGTTGATGATATCTTTCCAGTGTCTTAGTTACCCTGCCCAAGACATCGAATGGCATTGAGATCACTGTCAGTGTGGCCACCCCGAGGCAGGAGCAGTCAGTCATTCCAGTCTAGCGAGAAATCAGAGATGTACGTGGAGGGGTGGTAAAGCCCCCAGTGTGGATACGCGTTTGCAGGTGACGACTCGTGTGTTTTTGGGTAGATGCAAATACTTCGGCACTCTGAACAGACCTTAAAAACCGCTCTCATCTCCAAGAACCCAGTGCTTGTGTCCCAGTATGAGAAATTCGAAGCGGGGGAGCAGCGTTTAATGAACGAAGCCTTCCAGCCGACCAGTGACCTCTTTGGTCCCATTACCTTGCATTCACAGTCGGACTGGATCACCTCCCATCCTGAGGCTCCCCAAGACTTTGAGCAGTTTTACAGTGATCCTTACAGAAACACACCCTCTGCGGAGAAGCGTAGTATTTATATCCAGTCCATTGGTACGTATGGGTCATGTGCTGGTTCGGGGTTGGTGCTGTTGTCCGGGGTAGTGTGTACTGTTGTTTGATTCCAGTAGGCGCTCTTAGGATCATTTTTGACATTCATTGCAGTGCCAGACATTTTATAGCCCAACAGACTTAAAATGAACATCGCATTGCTTTTCAATTCATATTGGCTTCAATGAATGATCCACTTGTATTGAAAATTTAGAGTTGATTTTGTTTCTAATTTCAGATTAAAGACAATATTTCACCCACCTCAAGGTGCGTCTTTAAATTTTCTCCCATTTTATAGGTGCTCTAGGCAACACTAGGATTATCAGCGAAGAATATATTAAATGGCTCAAAGGCTACTGTGAAGCATTTTTCTATGGCTTGACAGTAAAACTCCTCGAACCGGTTTCTGTTTCTGCGACAAGGTGTTCCTTTAGAATCAACGATAACACACAGAATCTACAGATTCATGCAGGTGAATTAAGCAGCTTTCCAGCGTGAACTGAGTAAGTCCAGATGCGTGTATCTGCGTAGCTCATATACACACGCACACGTTTCTTTTACAATAGGGCACATCCTGAAGTTCCTAAAGAAGAAGAAGCCTGAAGATGCCTTCTGTGTCGTGGGAATAACCATGATTGATCTCTACCCAAGAGATTCCTGGAATTTTGTCTTCGGACAGGCCTCTTTGACAGATGGTATTTCATTTTCACGGTGTTGGTAGAAACTGTCATGCAACTTGAGACTATTTTAAGGTGGCAAAAGGGAAAATGTTCCAACCAGTAATAATCTTGATCTTTGACACCGTATACTATTTTCAGTGAGGCGTCATGGCATAGTGGGAAGTTCATTGTTGAATTATGTGAACTTACTATGTCTTTTTTTTTTTTCATGAATATTTATTTATTTGAAAGACAGGATTACAGAGAAGGAGCGGCAACAAAGGGCAAGATCTTCCATACACTGGTTCACTCCCCTAATGGCCCCAGATAGCTAGGGCTGGCCAGGCCAAAGCCAGGAGCCTGGACATCTGTCTCGTGGGTAGCAGGGGCCCAAGCACTTGGACCATCGTCCTCTGCTTTCCCAGTTGCATTACCAGGGAGCAGGATGGAAAGTGGGGTAGCCAGGACTCAAACTGGCACTTGGATGCCAGAGTCGCAGGCAGACGCTTACCCGCTGTGCCCCAACACCAGCCCCACCTACCTGGTCTCGAAGGTAATAATTTCACAATCATTTTGAGGTTATTTACAAAAAAGTGCAAATATACTAAAAGTGTCTATATATACATGGCACTGTATAGGCATTCAACACAACAGAAGGTATATATAAGCAACTCAGTAGTAAGGTAAATTAAATTACAGATATTTGAACTATCATTAGCATATGTGAAAATATTGGTGATTGTTTCTCAGCTCTTTACTTTTCGTGGTCTTCCTGCTTAGATAAATAGCCATAGACTGAAAAAGTAGTGTATGTGTCTTTCTCATTCTGTCTCTTAAGTTTTTTTTTTTTTTTTTTTAAGTCAGCTTCACTCTTTGATACAGTGAAGATACTGGGTGTAGGAACGGGTCTGGAAACAAGTCATTACTCTGCATTTTTTTCGCATTTCTACTTCTCTTTTCCCCACCTGTCCATTTTTGTTCCTGTTTCTCTGATCTCGTCTGCCAGGATCTGTGACAGGCTTGCGAGGGAAGAGCCCAGTGGAGTAAGGGGAGTGCTTCGTTGGTGTTCTGGGGGTGGGAGCGTGTCCCAGGGACTGAGACATTGTGATCCGTCTGGATGCTCATTAGTCCCAGGCTTTGTGTGGGGGCCAAGCGTTGCTTTCTACCAGAGAAGGGAGCTGGGGGATTGTAGCGCCTCCCCTGTCTGTGCCCCTCATCCTCAGCTCCATTCACACGAGGTTCTTACAGCGCTGCCGTGCCCCTGCCAGTGTGCTCCAGTGGAGGCGCCAGCGCCTACTGTCTGATAGTTGGTTTGAGCTATCTTTTTATCACAAGTTCCCCTTTCATTATTAACCTGATAGAGATGGAAACATTACAAATAATTTAAAAACAATTTGCTCATTTATCTAGGTATCGCTAGCTAACTTACCTTGTACATTTGAGAAGGATAGGCAGCATGACCACAAACTGTTTCTAACTTGACCTTTTCTTTAAAAAAAAAAAAAAGGTTCTTAAATATTGCATGATGCGAGAGAAGATGTGACAGAGTAGCAGGACTGACCTGGGCTGCAGTAATACAGGCTCTCCCACAAGTGACCGTGTTTCTCTCCAGGTTTACAGAGATTAGCGTTTGTAGCTGAGAGGATTATTTCTAAAGTAAATAATGTTCTATTTGTGGAATTATCAGAAGAGTGAAATGTGCTCACATGGGTTTGGCCAGAGGAGGTCACTTGTGACACATGGGTAGATTCCAGAATGTTGTCTTTCCTTGAATTTCACTTTTCTGTGGGCAGGGCAAGGAATCTCCTTTTTGAATCAAGCTGGATTCGACAAACTTACTATGAGTTTATTTCCTTGAAAAACAATTTGTTTCGACTGTAAAGTAACTGAAAGAGAAGCATAAACAAAAGTGCTAATGTAAACACGTCCCGTTCTAAAGCAGTCCCCTAGGAGTGAGTTACACATCCAGTTGTGTTCTCGGCCTGCGAGGGCGAGGACGGTAGATAGAACTCTGATTGTAACACAGGAAGTCAGTTACAAGGATGTTTATTCTGGGCCCTGACACCAGCCTCATAATAGAGCTGAGCTGTGTTTTAAAAGCGGGTAGGAGGAGGGGAAGAGGTTATTCTGTTTAAAGGCATGGTCTAAAACTGCTGGAGACCTCCGGGGCAGAGGGGGTTTAGGGGAGGCCAATGAGGCAGAGGTATGTTGACTGGGTCCTTTTTTTTTTTTAACAGGCAGAATTAGACAGTGAGAGAGACAGACAGAGAGAAAGGTCTTCCTTCTGTTGGTTCAACCCCCAAATGGCTGCTATGGCTGGCACTGTGCTGATCCGAAGCCAGGAGCCAGGTGCTTCCTCCTGGTCTCCCATGCAGGTGCAGGGCCCAAGTACCTGGGCCAAACTCCACTGCCTTCCCAGTCCACAGCAGAGAGCTGGGCTGGAAGAGGAGCAACCGGGACAGAACCGGCACCCCAGTTGGGACTAGAACCCGGGGTACTGGCGCCACAGGCGGAGGATTAGCCAAGTGAGCCGCGGCGCTGGCCAACTGGGTCCTTTTTTTAAAGGATTTACTTGAAAGGCAGAGTTAGAGACAGAGAGAGAAAGAGATTTCCCTTCTACTGGGTCTCTCCCCAAATGGCCACAGCAGCCGGAGCTGGGCCGATTCAGAACCTGGAGCTTTTTCTGGGTCTCCCATGCGGGTGCAGGCGCACTTGGGCCATCCTCCAAGGCTTTCTCAGACACATTAGGGAATTGGATCGAAAGTGGAGCAGCCTGGACTCAAACCAGTGCCCATGTGGGATGCTGCACCATAGGCGGCAGCTTTACCCACTGTGTCACAGTGCTGGCCCTGACTGGATTCTTAAAGAGTAAAATTACGACTGCCTATATTTTTCATCACTTTTTTTGGAGTGCTTTGGACTATTCCTTGAGAGGAAGATTTCTTTCTTGGGGGAAAAACTCTGAAGCTTCCAATTTCTCAAGAATTTGACCTCAAATTCTTGTAAAATTTAGTTTTACAAGGTAGACCAAGTCAGGTAGCAGATGATTTTCTAAATTAGTTTTAAAAGAGAGAGACAGACAGAGAGCTTCCACCTACTAGTTCACCTCAAATGGCTGCAGCAGTCAGGGCTGGGACAGGCCAAGGCCAGGAGCCTAGAACTCAGTCCTGGTCTCCCAGATGGATGGCAAAGACCCAAGTACTTGGGCCACACTTGCTGCCTGCCACAGTATACAGTAGAAAAAAGCTGGAGTCAAAGGAAGAGTCAGAACTCAAACCAGGTTCTCTGCCATGGCATGTGGACGTCTCCGATGGCTCCTTAACTGCTGTGACGGGGCCAGGGCTGTGGCGCAGTGGGTGAAGCCGCTGCCTGTGACACCAGCATCCAACATGAATGCTGGTTCGAGTCCCAGCTGCTCTACTTCTGTTCCTGTTACTTGCTAATGTGCCTTAGGAAGCAGCAGAGGATGGCCTGCGTGCCTGAGCTCCTGCACCTGTATGGAAACTCCTGACTCCTGGCTTTGGCCTGGAGCAGCTCTGGCCGTTACAGCCATCTGGGGGAGTGAACTGGTGGATGGAAGAGCTCTCCCTCTGTTGCTCCCTCTCTTTCTGTAACTCTGTCTTTCAAATAAATAGACAAATCTTAAAAAACAAAGCAAAACAAAACAAAAGAAACTGCAGTGGTAAGTGGCTGCCCTAGAAGAAAGTTTCGATAGGATGGGACAGTCTGGGCCCAGTTGTCCTTTCTGTCGGCACACCTGTATTAGCTGAGAGCGCAGTAGTACGGGGTGAGGAGGTGTTCTAGCAGGCTCATTTTGGTCTTTCCTTCAGGCATCTTGCCTTCATCCTGCAATTTCTTGTCGTCTTTTTGTAGGTGTGGGGATATTCAGCTTCGCCAGGTATGGCAGGGATTTTTATAGCTCGCACTATGAAGGCAAAGTGAAGAAGCTCCAGAAAAAATCTTCCAATGACTATTCCATTTTTGATAACTATTATATTCCTGAAATAACTAGTGTTTTGCTGCTACGATCCTGTAAGGTAAGTTCTTTAAAAAAAATCCTACAGGAACATTTTTAAAAACTGATCTTTTTTCTCCCCCCACTGGGACATCACTGGTATGACTTTTTTTTATTAATATTTATTTATTTGAAAGAGTTTCAGAGAGAAGGAGAAACAGACAAAGATAGATCTTTCATCTTGCTGGTTCATTTTCCAGATGGCCACAATGGTCAGGGCTAAGCCAGGCTGAAGCCAGGAGCTAAGAGCTTCATCCGGGTCTCCCACATGGGTGGCAGGGGCCCAAACACTTGGGCCATCTTTTGCTGCTTCTCCTAGGCCATTAGCAGGGAGCTGGATTGGAAATGGAGCAGCTGGGACACCAACCAGTGCCCATATACAATACTGGCATCACCAGTGGCAGCTTGGGGCTGGTGCTGTGGCATAGTGGGTTAAACTGCCGCCTGCAGTGCTGACATCCCATAGGGGTGCCGATTTGATTCCTGGCTGCTCCACTTCCAATGTAGCTCTCTGCTATGGCCTGGGAAAGCAGTAGAAGGTGGCCTAAGTCCTTGGGCCCCTGCACCTGCGTGGGAGACATGGAGGAAGCTGGCTCCTGGCTTCAGATTGGCACAGCTCCAGCTGTTGCAGCCAACTGGGGAGTGAACCAGTGGATGGAAGACCTCTCTGTGCCTCTCCTTCTCTCTGTGTGTAACTCTTTCAAATAAATAAATCTTTAAAAAAAAAAAAAAAAAGTGGCGCCTTTACTCACTATGCCACAGTGCTGGTCCCCAAAAACTGAGATCTTAATTCCCTACATCAAGTAATCAGTCCTTAAGGCAAAACACTCTAAATGAGTTTTATCATTTGCAAACTTTTTTTTTTTTTTTTTTTGACAGGCAGAGTGGACAGTGAGAGAGAGAGACAGAGAGAGAAAGGTCTTCCTTTGCCGCTGGTTCACCCTCCAATGGCCGCTGCTGCAGCCGGCGCACCGCGCTGATCCTGGCAGGAGCCAGGAGCCAGGTGCTTTTCCTGGTCTCCCATGGGGTGCAGGGCCCAAGCACCTGGGCCATCCTCCACTGCACTCCCTGGCCATAGCAGAGAGCTGGCCTGGAAGAGGGGCAACCGGGACAGAATCCGGCGCCCCAACCGGGACTAGAACCCGGTGTGCCGGCGCCGCAAGGTGGAGGATTAGCCTATTGAGCCACGGCGCCGGCTCATTTGCAAACTTTTGATGGGTGTCGCTCCCCGTCTTCATGGAGGAACGACACAGGACCCTGCGTTGTTCTTTCGTCTGCTCGGCCCTCCCCGGGTTTGCTGCTGGTTCTTCCCGGGTTGGCTACCATCCCTTCCACCTCCGTGGAAGGGCAGTTCCCCCTGCCACATTCCCCACTTCCGCAGGGGAGCGGCACACCGCCGGCCGGCTTTCTCGGGGGCTGCACGGGTTCCCTTAGATGTTCCCCATAGATGTTCCTGGTGCATGCCGTCTCTCTCCTCCTTTATAGTCCTCCTCCGCCAATCCTAACTCGGCTGCCCACACGCCGAGTACGCTGCTCTCCTCCAATCAGGAGCAAGTCCTACAGTTTATTAGCTGAACTGGAGGCAGCTGTGTGGAAGCTGTTTACTTCTCTCCCAGCGCCATATTGTGGGAGAGCAGATGCATAGAATAAGTCTTAATTCGAGTAACTCAGTCCAGTCCGGGCTGCTCCCCACAGATGGGTAGTGCTTGACTGCAATAACAAATAGAAACAACATTCAAGGGCGGGGCCGCCGCCTCCGTGCCGGCACCAGCGCGGGCGTCTCATCTCTCTCTGCCTCTGCCTTTCGGTAACTCTGCCTTTCAAATAAATACATAAATAAATCTTTAAAAAAAAGTTCAGGGGCTGGCTCTGTGGCACAGCAGGTTAAGCCAGGACCTACAGTGCCAGCGTCCTATATGGGCACTGGTTCAACTCCTGGCTGCTCCACTTCTGATCCAGTTCCCTGCTAATGTTCCTGGAAAAGCAGCAGAAGATGGCCCAAGCCCCTGGACCCCTGCACCCATGAAGGAGACCCAGATGAAGCTCCTGGCCCCTGGCTTTGGCCTGGCCCATCCTGACCATTGTGGCCATTTGGGGAGTGAACTAGTGAATGGAATATCTCTCTGTCTCCTCCTCTCTCTCTCTGTAACTGTACTTTTCAAATAAATGTGTACTTTTCAAATAACATAAACAAATATCTGAATGGTTACCGTACTTTTGAAATGTATAGAATTGGTACCAGTTTTTGGTCCTTCTGGTTCCATGTAGCCGTACCCTTGTCCTCATGCTGGGTTTAATTCCTGACTTGTGTGTGTGTAGGCAGACTACTCAGGCTGCGTGATCAAACAAAGCTGTCTCCCTGAGGGTTTTGGAGGATCTGCCTCTGCGCTCTGCCTTTTTTTTTTTTTTTTTTCTTATTTATTTTAAAGTCAGAGTTACAGAGAGACAGAGATCTTGCATCCACTCATTCACTCCCCAGATGGCTGCAACAGCCAGGGCTGAGCCAAGTGGAAGCCAGTAACCAGGAGCTTCCTCTGGATCTCCCACGTGGGTACAGGGGCCTGAACACTTTGGCCATCTTCTGCTGCTTTTTCCAAGCCATGAGCAGGGAGCAGGATGGTAAGTAAGTGAAGCAGCTGGGACTTGAACCGGTGCCCATATGGGATGCTGGTGTTGAAGGCAGCACCTTTACCCTCTGTGCCACAACATCAGTCCCTGCTCTCTGCCTCTTCAGGGAAATGGTCCTCATACTCTGGGCTCCAGGTTACGCTTGACTGTAGTTCTGTTGACGGCTCCTGACATCTCCCCTCACCCCTGCTTCCTGGAAATCCTGTCTCCATTTCTCCCTCTCTCTCTAGCCAAAGACATAGACTTCTTAAGTTAACTGGTTTCACCAATACTACCAGGGACTTCAAAAAGTTCATGAATAATGGAATGAAAAAATAAGTATCTTGGCATGAAAAATTTTGAAATTCCTGCATTTTTTCCCATAATATTCCCATGAACTTCTTGAAGAGCCTCATCTCTGTTGAGGTTTGTGAATGACGTCTTTCACAACTGCTTTTGAAGTGTGTTCCCTGGGCCCCTGCGTCAGCATCACCTGATCTGCATGCAGGTCAAGCCCACTTCTCCTTCCAGACCAACTGAGCCAGCGTCTGGGGGGAAGGCCCCAGAATCTGACTTGTAAGAAGTAGCCCTTTGCCTGGAGCGGTGGTGGTGGTGGTGGTGGTGGTGGTGGGGGATCTGTAGCCCAGGGAAGGAGTGGCGGTGTTGGGAGACACTGGTGACTGTCACAGCTTGGGAGGCAGTTTTACTGGCATGTGGTGGGCAGAGGCTGGGCTGCTCTAAACAGCCACCGTGCAGTGCACAGGACAGCTTGTACAGCACGGAAGGACCTGTCCAGGCACGTGCCTGTGGTTAAGGGTGGTAGTGGCACTGAAGGAAATGAGAGGTTAACTCTTTGAAGATGTGGGCAGAGTGAAGTGTTGGTGATGAGGATAAGAGAATTGATTTCTGTCGATCTGTTTCTTGGAAAAGCGAGAATGAAAAGGACTGTCACAGTGTAGTGTTACCACAGAGCCTCAGTGTGAATGTCTTGCAGACTGTAACCCACGAGATCGGACATATATTTGGACTGCGGCACTGCCAGTGGCTCGCATGCTTGATGCAAGGCTCCAACCACCTAGAAGAAGCTGACCGGCGCCCTCTAAATCTTTGCCCTATCTGTTTACGCAAGCTGCAGTGTGCTGTTGGCTTCAGCATTGTAGAAAGATACAAAGTAAATTGGGGTTGGGGGAGGAGGCGGGGAGGGAGGGGAAGTGGTTATCCAAGTAGAAAACTGACATTTTCTATTAGGTCCTTGGCTACAGCTATAATTTATCAGAGGAAATTAGTGTAAAAGATAAGCAGGAAGTTGTGGTTTTAAAAAACATGCAGAGAAATACCTTTCTTGAAAACTTGAGCTTGCCTGCGGCTGCTTTGTAAGTGTAGTGCAGGCAGAAATGATGGGAGAAGTTTCTGTTTCTCATCCCTTTAGGGCAAGAAAGCTTGATTTGCAGAACAGAAACAACGCTGACATGTGTGACAAAGTTCGCTTCTTTACACCACGTAACTGTGGACATGATTTACGTTTTCAAATATGTGAAGAGATACGGGCGCTGGCAGTAAAGGGTGACCTTTAAGGAGGAAGAGTGAGAGTCCCTAATCTCAGTGTCTCTGTGTGTGCCACACATGCCCACACATGCCAGTTTATCTTCATGTGGCTGCTCACGGGGGTGACTACTTCAGTCTGCACGTGTGCCCACATACCTATGTCTGCCCATGCCTGTGGACACTGAACATGTACATGCCAAAGTAAGGTGCACCGTAGTGCTTTGTGGGATAGTTAGCAAGTCGAAGAAGAGCATTAATTATCCTACTGCCCTAAAAACACAGTAGAAGAATTTGTGTGTTTTGTGTATGGTGTATATTTCTTTTCATCTTTTTTCCTATGCATACTTTGGACTGTAATTTATAATTATGGTTTGTGTAGTTTTGGTGTACGCTGTTTCACTCAGTGTATCCTAGACAGTGTTTTATATTCATAACCATCTTTATCAGATGCAGAATCGTCACAGCATAGTGTAAGTCACAGTTTAGATAACCTGATCTAGGAGCCAGTGTCCTCCCCTCGCCTGAACCTGTCCTGCTGTGATTTGTTAAAATCCGAGTCTTCTCTGCTCTTCAAGGCCCTCGTGAAGTGGATCGATGACGACTCTGCCAGCACCCCGGTCGTTGCTCCAAGACATAGTCGTGAGGATAATGTGAATTTACCGAAACCTGCCGAAGCCTTTAAGGACTGGAGGGAGTGGATAGTAAAATGCCTCGCCGTTCTCCAAAAATAAGGACCTTCAAATAGGAGTAATTAAAATAAATACTCGCACATGATGCTTTCCTCTGGGAGTCCTTCATTGGAACAAACTGTTCACTGAGTCGGAGCCTGCCCGAGAGCACCAGAGTGGAAGGGAGGCTCCCTCTGAGCAATAAAAACCCGGTCGGCTCTTCATCTTCTGTCGTACTGGCCTGGGCTGTGGCAGTGAGCACATCACCTCTGTTCTGCAAATGCCTCACCAGAGAGCTAGGACTAGCAGTAACTAGTAAGTAAATAAATACTTTAAAGATAGCTGCATACAGGGGCTGCTGTGGCACAGCAGGTAAAGCCATCGCCTGCAGTGCTGGCATCCCATAAGGGCACAGGTCTGTGGCCTGGCTGCTCCTCTTCTGATCCAGCTCTCTGCTGTGGCCTGGGAAAGCAGTGGAAGATGGCCCAAGTGCTTGGCCCCTGCACCCACATGGGAGACCTGGCAGCCCCAGCCGTTGCAGCCATTTAGGGAGTGAACCAGCAGATGATGGACTTCTCTCTCTCTCCCTCTGCCTCTCTATAACGCTGCCTTTCAAATAGATAAATAAATCTTTAAAAAAAAAAATACCTGTATATGGCCCATGGAACCAGTCAACATAATTCCCAGAGAGATGCTGTTTCTAGAAGAGCTGCTTGCTGTGCGTTAGGCCTGGCGCAAGCATATTTGGGGACTTCGGTGGGCTCGCATCCTCTGTGCATACCCCTTCTCACCTGTGAGCTCCCCTGTGCTCTGGGTTTCGCCTCCCTTGGTGGTGGTCAGCTGATCCCTGAAGAAGCCACTGCTTGTATCGGTTTTGAGCGGCTCTGAGTGTTTACGGGGGACTGAACAGCAGCGCTGAACCTCAGCTTCCTGTGCAGAGGGCCTTACAGGCGATCTGCCATGGTGCTTAACGCTGGGCAGGGGTGCACTCTTCTGGGTGTAGAGCAGGTTTCTGCTTTATGCCTACAGTATCTCTCACTGCCTGGCATTGTGAAATGTTTGAGTCGGGGGAGAGTGGAACAGGCTTACTGTGGGTGTTCTGAGTGCCGTTTCGGCTTGTGTCAGGCTGTAGACACACGGCCAGCTGACGCACTAGTGATAGGTTGGGAATCTCAGGCTTGGCAGACCAGCTCAGCCACAGCAGCGTATTCTGCACGTTCGGAAACTGCAGTGTATCGTTTTACTGAATGCTGGGAGCAGGCAGCGTTTCCCACTTCACCAGACTTCAGGGAGGGGAGTTTATTCCTGCATTTTGAAGACATGGTTCTTTCTTAAGATGGTATACACTGTTACTTCAAGAATATGTTATGACTGCATTGGAGGTTTCCTTGGGGTTCGCCCCTACTTAAACCCCTCTACAGCATTTCCGAAAAGGACGCTTGCATTTACAATTAAGTGAGGAGAGACTACTTGGTCATCTGATGTTGCAGGGAACCAGTGGAGCATGGACTTTTATGGATACTGTGACAAGCTTAATTTCCTCCTTGAATAATTACTTTTAGTTATCCATTCTATTTTATTTCCTTTAATGTTCCTACAAGATTAGCACCGCTTTAGTCGTATAGGTCAGCATTATTCATAAACCTAGAAGACGCATCTTTGCCTAGGCGAATATACTGGGGATTAGTTATTTGGGTAAGCTATAAATAGAAAGTCTGCTTGTGCCTACTCTGCAGTGTGAGAGAGCAGGAACAACACTGAATATGAAACAGTACAGTAGGTGCTGGTGTTCAGCACAGCGGTTAAATGCACTTGGGATGCCCACATCCCAGGCTGTGCGCTCAGTTCCAGCTTGTGCTCTGGGAAACGGCAGGTGATGGCTGCAGTACTCGGGTCCCTGCTACCCATGTGGGAGACCTGGAGTTCTATGCTCCTGGCTTCAGCCTGGTCCAGCCCTACTAGCTGTTGCAGGCATTTGGGGGAGGGAACCAGCAGATGGAAGATCTTGTTTCTGTCTCTGCCTTTTGAATAAATAATTTTTTTAGAACGATGTGTTTATTTATTTGAAAGAATTGTGGAGGAAGGAGAGACGGATCTTCCATCCCCTGGTTCACTTCCTAGATGGCCTCGGCGGCCAGGACTGGCCCAGGCAGGAGCCAGGAGCTTCTTACTGGTTTCCGATGTGGGTGCAGGAGCCCAAGCCCTTGGGCCATCCTAGACTGCTTCGCCAGGCCATTAGCCGGGAGCTGGGTTGGAAGTAGAGCAGCCAGGACTCGAACTGGTGCCCATATGGGATGCTGGCCCTGCAGGCAGTGGCTTAACCCACTGCGCCACAGTGCTGGCCCTGAATAAAAAATTTACAATCTAATTCTAGTTAAAATTGGACTAAGCTAAATTTATAGAATAGACATTTATTCAGCAATCCATGTAAATACTGTGTGTAGCTAATTTTACATACTTTTGGACCATTTTTAAGGGTTAACTTTAAAAATACATTTTGTTTACTGCAATTATAGTTAAATCTTTGTCATTTTAAAAAGTGATTTTCACTAAATAACAGCAGAAGCCCAGGCAGGTTTTTCTCTGAAAATGCAGAACAAACAAGGCATTGACCTGGTAAAGACAACTTCCCGCTGTCTGAATACCGATCCTGTTCCCGGCGCTGCCGGTTACCATCTCCGCAGCCCCGGGAAGGGTTAAACGTTGGCGTTTCGGCCCAGACACTTCATGGTGAGGATTAAGCAGAATCTGGCAAGGACTGCCCGTCAGTCAGTTCTTGTCCAGCTGGTTTTCCGTTTGCTCTTGAGGCACAGGCCGCCCTGAGGAATACTTCGAAATGTCGAGCCCTCGGCGCGGCCCGGCCGGGCGGCTCCCTCCTCGGAGCCCGAGTGCTAAAATCCAAGCAGGCAGCCGCGGGGCCGCTAAAGCCGGCCCTGCGCTCGCCCGGGCCCTCCCGGCAGGAAGCGCGTCGCCGTCCCTGGGTGCGCCCGGCGGGTGCGGGCCCAGCAGCCGCCTGCGGCCCGCGCACCACCTGTTTCCGCCCGCAGGGACTGCTCGGCGGTGTGTGTGGGCAGGGGTCTGCGGCCCGCGCCGCCTCTGGCGTCAGAGACCCAGGGTGCCCGCCTCCGCCGCAGCCCCCGCTGCGGGTCCCCCGTGTGCGCGCTGGGCACGGCCTCGGAGAATCAGGATGGCGCCGGCCGCGGAGCAGTGAGTGGAGTCGGTTCTCGCCCAGAGGTTTGCGAAGCGCTGCGTTTGCTAGTTTGAATCCTAGTCACTTTCAAGCTTCTGGATCCAGAGCGGCACCGTCCAATAAAAACGCAGCGCAAGCCACGGAGGAGGAGATAGGGCTAATTTTTCTCATGGCCGCAGTAGCAAACGCAAAAAGAAGCAGGTGGAATTAATCATTTATTTACGATTTCCACATGTAATCAATAGATTGGTAAATGCTTTTTTTCCCTGCCAAGTCTTCAGAATCCGGCAAGATTTTGCACAATAGCACGCACACTCGAGGGCTCAGCAGCCCCACGTGGCTTGTGGCTGCTGTGTTGGACAGCGCGGCTCCGGATCGCTACACCTCTCTAGTGCCCGGGGAAGGTGGACCATGGAACTGAATTGATAGAGATTCGCGCTGACGGGGCGTGGCCGGGTGAAGGCTTCTGGGTTCAGTGCTGACTAAGGTTGAATCTTGCTGTTCTTGCAGATGTTTAATCTCCCCTGTCATTGCCTACAGCCTGGTATCTCCTTTAACTGCATTTTCATTTTTGGAAAGCAGAGTTGTGAGGTGTAAATGTGGAGTTTGTGTAGCCCCTGTCACGGAGAAGGAAAACGAGCCTGCAGGAGCTAAGTTAACTTGTGTGTGTTTAAACCCCTGGCAAAAAGGGGACCAGCCCCCACGTCTTCCCAGTTCTGAGTTCTGCATCGCTGTCACTGTGTTTCCTCGAAAATCAAATACACTAGCCAAAAGCCCAACCACTTCCTCCAGGTTGTTTACAGAGGGGTTATCACATTCAGTTTTCTGTTGCCGCCTGTCCTATTCAAGTGGAGCCACCCCCGGTGGCAGAGAAATCAGTCTGTGTGCTTCTACCTTAACACCAAAGGCAGAGAGCCGCACTGTCCAGAAAAGCACTGGCTGCCAGTTAGGGTCGTCTGAAAAAGCAGCATGAAAAGAAGAGAGGGCTTTGGGAGAAAGGTAAAGTTCAAAACAAAACGTGCTGGGTAGTGTGTGAAAGCCCACAGCCCTTCCTCTGCGCACCCAGCATGGTGTTCACTCCTTCCCAGCGTGTTGCTCATGGGTATGAGTGTGTGCTTCCAGCTGCTGCGGCCCTGCAGCTGGGCGCCTGAGACCTGTCTGCAAATGTGGATTCCATAGCTTTTTTTTTTTTTTTTTAAGATTTATTTATTTATTTGAAAGACAGAATTATATATAGAGAGATCTTTCATCCGCTGGGCTGGTTCACTTCCCAAATGACTGCAATGGCCGGGGCTGGGCCAGGCTGAAGCGAGGAGCCAGGAACTCCATCCAGGTCTTCCACCTGGGTGTAGGGGTCCAAGGACTTGGGCCATCTTCCACTGCTTTTCCAGGCGCATTAGCAGGGAGCTGCATCAGAAGTGGAGCAGTTGGAACTTGAACCTGGCGCCCACAAGGGATGAAGGCACTGCAGGCTGTGGCTAACTGGTAGTGCCACAGCGCCGGCACCCACCCCGTAGGTTTTGAGCACAATGTTTTCGGTGTCCTAGGGACATCCAGTAGCTTCAGAGCCACCCAGCTCTCAAGCTATAATCACACATAGGAACATTTTCCCCCTTTGTAGTTACAGGGGTGATAAAAGGGACCGAGAAAAAACAAAGAAGTCACTCATTGGTTCAACAGTATTTATGAAGTGCCACCTACAGTACGCCATGCTGTACTTGAAGTCTGGGGGACGTAGCAGTGAACACAAAGCCAACTCTGTAACACTAGTGAGAGCTAGTGGAGGAGGAAACGCAAACAATCCTAACAGGGAGAGTAAGGGGACAGAAACGGTAGTGTCCTGCGTAGGGCTGTTAGGGAGGTGACATTTGGAAGCGAGCACATTGAAGGGTCATACCCTGGGCACATCTAAGGAAGGGCTGCACCAGGCAAAGGGAACAGTGCTGAGGCCTGAGGCCACTGTGAGGCTGACGTAGCTGGAGCCAAGGGAGACCTCATGGCATCAGGCAGCTCACATAGGATTTATGTTAAGGATTTATGCGTGGCCTGTGCCTTGGAAGGATTACTGTGGCAGCTGTCTAGAAAATTCAGGTGGGGGTGGCATGTAGCAAGAGTGGACGCAGGCAGGGCATCTGGAGCCTTGCTGTGATAACCTGGCCAAGACTGTCTTTGCCTGGCAAAGGGTGCTTACTGGTAGAGCTGGCAAAAGCAGTCGGCTTCTGGATGTGTTTAGAGAGCAGAGCCGATTGGACATGCAGAGCAGCAGGTTTGAGGAGGAGGATCCAGATCTCTGCAGGCCATCTGGGTCCTGCCCATGCGTGCATACGTGAGGCAAGCTCAGAAAATCCTGGAAAAATGTGTTGGATGCCAAAGCGGTCTGTGGATTTCAAGGTTTTGTTTTGTTTTGTAACCAAAACAAACATCGTTGTATCTCATTGTCCAGGAACATTCTGAAGTCCCTTCACGTAAGTCTGGAGCGCAGGGGTACGGTGGGGACTGAGGACGGGAGTCAGCGATGCAGAGCAGGAACCCAGTGACTGCAGGGTGTCGAAGTGCCCGGGTGTGAGCGTGCGCGTTCTTGAGTGGACTCGCGAGACGGCTGTGGAAATGAAGGAAATCCACGGCCACCACGTGTGTTCTCTCGGTGCTGTCTGGCAAGGCAGGGATGTCACATGTGCTGTTCAGTTTCTCGTGCAGGAAACCGATGGCTACAGAGGTTGTTTTGATTTGGCTGTGAGTTCCTACACAGCAGGCCAGCTCGCGAGTTCTGCAGCTGCTTTCCCTGTTCTGCACTTCGAGGGGTCATTATCCACACTGAACGCCAGGGGGACCTAGTTTCCTTCTGATGTGGAGGTGGCTGGCCACCTGCGGAGTCCCCGCTCTCCGGGCACGTGGCTGTCTTAGGGTCAGACCTGAGCACAAGGGTGCAACTTCTCGTTCTCAGCGTAGTGATCTTTTAGCATGTCCTTAAACAGACCAACTGAAGTCATGTTCATAACCATCTGGAATGGTAAAGACAATAGCTTCTGAATCCTGGGGCCTGCTTAGTGAGCCTCATTTGTGGGAACTTTTAAAAGCAAGGATTGTGATGACTTCTGATTTAGAATGCTTGGAATGGAGTATGGAAACCTAAATGTGATAAATCCCACTAGGTGACTTGCCTCTGGCCCCCAGGAATCCTGATTTAGAATCCATTTTCTGTGATATCACCAGATATTATGCTAACGGAAATGCAAGAGCACTAAAGGTACATTATACAGGATGGAGTATAAAATTGATAACTTTGTTAAAAGGTTTAGAAACATTGTATCAATGAAGGATACATTTGTCTTAAAACGGCAACTGATTTGTTGTTGCTCTTTGGTTTTTTAATGATTTACTTTATTTACTTGAAAGGCAGAGCTGCAGAGAGAGGGAGAGACAGACAGAGATCTATCTGTTAGTTTGGCTGGTTCATTCCTCAAATGGCCACAATGGCCGGGGCTGGGCCGGGCTGAAGCCAGGAGCCGAGAGCTTTTTTCGGGTCTTCCACGTGGGTGCAGGGGCTCAAGCACTTGCGTCATCTGCTGCTTTCCCAGGCCATAGCAGAGAGCTGGACCAGAAGAAGAGCAGCTGGGACTAGAACCAGTGCCCTGTGGGATGCCGGCACTTTAGGCCAGGGCTTTAACCCACTGTGTCACAGCGCCAGCCCTGTGTTTTTTTGTGTGTGTGTGTTTTTGTTTGTTTGTTTGTTTTGTTTTGTTTTTGTGTGTGTGTTTTGTTTTGTTTTAAATTCAAGGTGTACAGGGACAGAGTTCTCACTGGCTGGTTCACTCCCCAGTTGCTCACAATGGCTGGAGCTGTAGTGGGCCTGGGTTAGGCTGAACCACAGGGGCCAGCACTGTGGCACAGCAGGTTAACGCCCTGGCCTAAAGTGCCAGCATCCCATATGGACGCTTGTTCTAGTCCCAGCTGCTCCTTTTCTGGTCCAGCTCTCTGCTATCGTTTGGGAAAGCAGTGGAAGCCCCTGCACCCATGTGGGAGGCCCGGAAGAAGCTCCTGGCTCCTGGCTTCAGATCGGCGTAGCTCCAGCTGTTGCGGCCATCTGGGGAGTGAACCAGCAGATGGAAGACCTCTCTCTCTGCCTCTCCTCTCTCTCTAACTCTTTCAAATAAATAAAATAAAATCTTAAAAAAAAAGGGGGGGGCCGGTGCTGCGGCTCACTAGGCTAATCCTCCGCCTTGCGGCGCCGGCACACCGGGTTCTAGTCCCGGTCGGGGCGCCAGATTCTGTCCCGGTTGCTCCTCTTCCAGGCCAGCTCTCTGCTGTGGCCAGGGAGTGCAGTGGAGGATGGCCCAAGTGCTTGGGCCCTGCACCCCATGGGAGACCAGGAGAAGCACCTGGCTCCTGCCATCGGATCAGCGCGGTGCGCTGGCCACAGCGCGCCGGCCGCGGTGGCCATTGGAGGGTGAACCAACGGCGAAGGAAGACCTTTCTCTCTGTCTCTCTCTCTCACTGTCCACTCTGCCTGTTAAAAAAATAAATAAATAAAAATAAAAAAAATTAAATTAAATTAAAAAAAAAAAAAAAAAGGATGAACCACAGCCGGCAGCTAGGAACTGGATCCAGGTCTCCACATGGGGGGTGGGAAGCGAACTCCTTGGGCCATCACTCTCAGGATCTGCATTAAGGAAGCTGGAGTCTGGAACCAGGAGCTGGGCCTTGAGCCCAGGCACTCTGATGTGGGATGGGGTATCTTAACCACTCGGCCAAACACCTACCTCTAACTGATTTTTACAAGGGTACTAATTTTATTTTGGGGGAGGGGAAGAGACCACATTTATACCACAACATGAGGTGAACAAGGTCAAAGCAGAATCTCTGGTCACAGGAAGTGAAGACTGGTAATTAATAAACGTGTTATCAGCTGTGGTCTTTCCTGTCTTTGGTTCCCACATCTAAGAATCACCTTGGTCACAGAGCCCACCCTTCCCTTCAGTTTCCACCCGACCCTGTCCACTGTCACAGGTGCCTAGAGGAGGCTGGAAACCATGCTCACAGCCTGAATCCCACCCACCGCCTTTCTTACTCACTTTTTTTTTAACAGCTGTGTACTAATAATTTTTTTAAATATTTTTATGTGATTGGAAAAATAAAAATGGTATTTGATAGATGACAATTTTATGAAATTCAGATTCCAGTAACCATAAATAAAACTTTATCGAATCATCTGTGCTCATTGAGTTGTCCGTGGTCTGGGCCTACAGTGGCAGAGCGGAGTAGTTGGGACAGAGATCTCATGACCTGCAAAGCCCTAAATATTTACCATCTGGATCTTTACAGACAAAGCTTGCAGCCCCTGGCATGGAATTGGTACTGTTTATTTGAGGACTTTAGAATTCCTGGGGGGAGGGTGTAGTCAGCGCTATGGAGTAGCTGGTAAAGCTACCACCTGTGATGCTGGCATGCTATATGGGTGCCGGTTCTAGTCCTGGCTGCTCCACCTCCAACCCAGATCCCTGCTAATGCGCCTGGGAAAGCAGCAGAAGATGGCCTAAGTTCTTGGGCCCCTGGACCTAAGTGGGGGACCTGGAAGAAGCTTATGGCTCCCATCTTTGGCCTAGTCCAGCCCTGGTCATTGTGGCCATTTGGGGAGTGAACCAGCGGATGGAAAACCTCTTTCTCTTTCTGTCTGTAGTGCTGCCTTTCAAATAAATAAAGGCAGGGCCGGCGCTGTGACGTAGTGGGTAAAGCTGCCGCCTGTAGTATTGGCATCCCATATGGGCGCCGGTTCTTGTCCCAGCTGCTCCACTTCTGATCCAGCTCTCTGCCATGGCCCGGGAAAGCAGTGGAAGATGACCCAAATCCTTGGGCCCCTGCACCCACGTGGGAGACCTGGAGAAAGCTCCTGGCTTCGGATAGGCGTAGCTCCGGCCATTGTGGCCAATTGGGGAGTGAACCAGCGGATGGAGGCTCTCTCTCTCTCTCTCTCCTCTCTCTCTGTAACTTTGACTTTCAAATAAATAAATAAATCTTTTAGAAAAAAAATACAGGAGCAGCCAGGACACAAACTTATGCCCATATGGAATACCGGAGCTACAGACGGAGGCTTAACCCACTATGCACAGTGCTGGTCCCACTCTTTTTTTTTTTTTTAAAGACTTTGTTTTTCCCCCAAACTGTAAAGTGATAAAGAGGTGGGAAAGACAGAAAAAGTTATCTTCCATCTGCTGGGTCACTCTCCAAATGGCCACAACTTATTTTTTCATTCCATTTCCCCAGGAACATTTGGAAGAGTTGCTTCATTTGGTTATATAATTCAAAAAAAAAAAAAGAATTTGGGGCTGACGCTGTGGCATAGAGGGTGAAGCTGCCGCCTGCAATGCCGGCATTCCATATGTGCACCAGTTTGAGTCCCAGCTGTTGCTCTTCCAATCTACTCCTTACTAATGCGCCTGGGAAAGCAGCAGAAGATGGCCGAGGTACTCAGGCCCCTGCACCCACGTGGGAGACCCAGGTGCAGCTCCTGGCTCCTGGCTTTGGCCTGGCTCAGCCCTGGCCATTGGGGCCATTTGGAATGAACCAGCAGATGGAAGATCGATCTCTCTCTTTAACTCTTTCAAATAAATAAATCTTTAAAAAAGCTTCTCTTATTTTATTTTTTTGTAAATTTGAGACAGAAAGAGTGGGCTTCTATCCATTGGTTCACTCCCCAGACTGGCTGCAATGACCAGGGCTGGAGCCACACTCCAGAAACACAATGTAGGCCTCCCACATCAAGGGCAGAACCCGATCCCTTGAGCCTTCACCTCCTAAGGTCTGCACTGGGGGAAGCTGGACTAGGGGCTGCAGCCAGCGTGGGACAGGGAGTCTGCACCATGAGGCTAAGGCCCACTCCCTGTGCTTCTGTGTCCCTCTCCTACTGCCCATCAATACTTTGCTCAGGTTATTTGTAGTTGTTTTCTTGGGTGCTTTAAAATAATTTGTATGAAAATTTTAACATTAAAAAGTCCTGTTTTCAATGACAGAGGAAAACGAGATGATGCTTCTTGGGAACCTTTACATGCAGAGCTATGATATTTTGCAGAAAAGTTAAAAATATTTACTTGCAATGAATCTTTGGGTATTTATGACTTCATTTGGATCAATGAATGTTTTAACAGTTCATAAAAAGCTTATGGCAGAAGAAAATCAGTCGTTTTAAATAAAAAAAAGCCATAAATTTATTGCAAATCTAGAAGTACCAGAATGTCACCAATACAGAACAAACCACCAGTCTTGCTTTTATTTTCTTCCAGACATGTAAGATCTTGATTACTGACATACAGAAGTTGGCATACATTTTTTCTTCATGCAGTTAACAGAACGGACATAGAGCAGATCCCTCAGAAATCAGTTATAAATATTAAATTGTATGGAACATTCATAGTAAAAAATACGTTGTAAAGTGCTGAAGTCATTTGACTCTGCAGGAACTACCAGGCGCTCAGAGCCCCTCTAGGCAGTGCCGGACGGGCTGCCTCCAGCCGGCTCTCGGTGCGTCTGCGTTCCACAGACTTGGTCACCTCCTCCCCGCCCTCCCCAGAGTTTTACAGATTGTCCTATTTCTATGGCTGATAAAATGCTATACAAAAATGTAGCCAGCGGTGATGAACTATGCCACTCTCATTTCAGTGCACAGAAAGATTCAAGCTTGTGTGTACCTGTAACCAAACTAGGCTTGTTATATTTTTCCCCCTGAGTTGTCATAAATTAACAGTAAAGATGAAGAAAGGTGGAGCAGCGAGCACCGACCATCACCTGCAGGGCGAGAGTCAGTAGACAGGTGAGCAGCTCACCTCACACCCTCACACGTGCCCCTCGACAGAAAACTGCTAACGAGAACGCTACACGACACACTGACACCCATGGAAGCGATCCAGCCACGCTCCATGGAAAACATCAAATTGCAAATTTCTAACGCACGATGGCAACGTAAATGTCTTTGCTACTCCTAGAAAATACAGAAATGCTTCAACCCTTAGATGTTTGCTCTTTAAAAAAAAAAAAAAAACAATCATAAATGTTTCAACAATTCAATGAAATATAATTCTGATCAAAGAAGATCCTCAAGTATTCTTAGGTGATGAGACAAATTACTTTTAAAAGCTAAGGCGATTTGCTATCCATGTCTCCCCTTTTAAATCGTGGACACTGCCTTTAATCAGACTGAAGAAGCATGACAAGCTGGCCTTTTAGGAGAGTCACTTTACAAGATAAGAAGAATTCTTTGAGGCATTAAGAGGATTGCAGAAAAGAGGTAAAGGATGCTGCTGTGTCTCAGATTCTATGTTTTATCTCTTTTGATTAATTATTCTAGAATAACTTAATAATAAATAGTGGTTTAAATTAAAGACGCTACAATCATATATTTTTGAATAAAAGTAACAGGAAACACCTTTTCAAATGCAGTTTTGTATATTCTGTACTAAAATACCTCTGGTGATGACTGGCCATTAAAAGAAGTGGTGATCTTCACATTTATGAAGTTCAAGTTCTATATATTGAAAAAAAAAGTTTATTAGTCAAATGCTTGGTCTTAAACTATGCTTCATTCCCATGCAATGTTTGGCAAATTCAGAGGCCATAATTTGTTAATGAGAAACTCAGTGTTTTCCAAAGCATTTAAAAAATGTATTCATATTTCTGCAAATTGCCAAGTTTTTAAGTGATTGGTTGGAGTTTGTTTTTTTAATGGTGAATTTCAGTGGCCTGGGTCATGTGTCGGTTTGTAGGATAGTAGTTCATCACGAGGAAGGGCTCTTAGAACCACCCCATCAGTCCATGTCCCTGTGTGAGCCCTGGAATGTGAATGCTGTCTTTGTATTGCTACGGAATGCAGCCAGATTGATACATGGAAGAGTGTTTGGTTGGTTTTGTTTTGGCTTAAAAAACAAGCAAAAAGGAAAATTTAGGGAAAAAAAAAGATGGTAGTGTGTTCACACATACATTCCCTTTAAAATGCAGTGTTGAGAGTGGGACAGAGCGGTGGGCCCCTCTGCCCCAGCCCCTCACTGGTCTCAGCTCCAGCCACTATCACGGCTCCTGGAACACAGGAAAGCCAGTCAGACTGGCTCCGTTTTCCCATGGCCTCTATGCTCATTTTTCCCAAGATCCATTTCCAGGAAGTCTTCAGGGATGTCTTCCAGAACCTTCCCGCGGTGACTCTCGACTTGCGTTCCACCTGAATGTTGATGCTGGCACAGTCCCTTTTTGCATGGTCTTACCAGGGCCAGGCACAGGGCAGCCATGGCCATGCCAGCTGCACAGGAGTAGAAGGCCCTGCTGTAGATCTTACTCTGGTCCACCAAGAGACCTGGGAGAGAGCATCGGCACTTGTTAGCAACATCGTTCTGGACACAAACCCTCTCCCCCGGGGCTCCCGTTCAGTTCAGGGACTTCTCAGTTTCTTTGCTTTCCTCCTCTTACTATTTTTTTCCTTTTTCTTTTATTAAAGAGTTATTTTTATTTATTTGAAAGCCAGAGCCACAGAGACAGGGAGAGACAAAGAGAAAGGTCTTCCATCCGCTGGTTCACTCCCCAAATGGCCACAATGGCCAGAGCTGGCCCGATCTGAAGCCAGGAGCCAGGAGCTTCCTCCAGGTCTCCCACGCGGGTGCAGGGGCCCAAGGACCTGGGCCATCTTCCACTGCTTTCCCAGGCCATAGCAGAGAGCTGGACCAGAAGAGGAGCAGCCAGGACTTGAACCAGCATCCATATGGGATGCCGGTGCTGCAGGCCAGGGCTTTAACCCACTGAGACACAGCACCAGCCCCGTTATTTTGTTTTTCTAAAGAAAAGGATGGTAAAGGCAGAAATCTTGACTCGACTGGAGAGAAGAAATGAACTAGAGAAACACACGACATCCTTAGCACCGACAACATCCAGCCGCTAACTTGTTCTTCAGGGGTGAAGTCTCTCTCTAAAATGCGGCACAGTTAGATGCAGGGTTTTCCTGAAAAACATGAGGGGTCTTCAAAAAGTCATGGAAGATGTGTCTTATGAAAAAGTTGGATTTCAACAAATTTTTTCCAGAAAATAAACTTATTTTTTAATCCCATTTTCCATAAACTTTTGGAAATGTCTTTAGGTTCTTAGTAGGGAGAGAGCTGTATTACGTTCCACTTGAGTTCCCTCCGGGTGTCTCTTTACAGGGGCTCAGACTGCTAATCACAGTAGCTTTAAGGCCCTGTACCTGATCTAAGGAAACACATGCACATCCTTTCTAGAAGGAACTGTTCTATATTCACCCACGGAGAACTCACAGAGCACTTGCTCTGTGCCTCATTCCAAAACACCCTTCCCCGAAGGGAAGATGCCTTCCAGAAGTGCCTGAGTTCTGATATTCCAAAAGTCACAGGGTTGTTGGAACGAGCAAAATCTGTGTTCCCGTGACAGCAGGACGATGGGAAAAGCCGGAGCAGCCTGGATGCCACACGGACTCTGATCCTGAGCGGCTCTCCAATCTAACTGCTCGGGCTCTGGCTTCACTTCTTTGGCCTTTAATTTCCTCACATTTATTTAACTTTCAATGTATTTATTTAAAAGGAGGAGAGAGAGAGAGAGAGAGAGAGAGAGAGAGAGATTGATTGATTGACTGATTGATTTTCTCATCTACTGGGTCACTCCCCAGCTGCTCTCAATAGCTGGGGTGGGCCAGGCTGTGTTTGGAAGCCAGGACTCTCAGTCTAGCTCTCCCATGTGGGTACAGGGACCCAACTACTTGAGCCACTGCCCATTGCCCGCCAGGGTACAGATGGGCAGGAAGCTGGAATCGTGAGGGGAGTTGGTCCACGAACCCAGGCACCCAGAGAGGGGACGGACACATCCCAGGTGGCACGTTAACTGATACACCCAGCTCCTGCCCCAGTTCCCTCCTATTCAAATCAAGAGGTTTGGCCCCGGGTGGGAGGGAAGTTATGGGGGGAGGGGAAGCCATTGTAATCCATAAGCTGTACTTTGGAAATTTATACTCATTAAATAAAAGTTAAAAAAAAAAAAAAGAGGTTTCGCCCTGGGCCATCTCTGAACCCTGGTGGCTCTAGGAGTCTATGAAACTATAAAAATGGAAGTAGACTTTAAAAAAAAAAAAAAAGAATTTGGCTTGCACGGGAAGCCGGCACAGCCAGCACAGGGAAGGCAGACAAGGGCTTGAAATTACCTGCGAGGGGCGGTCCGGCCAGCCCCGCTACGCTCTGAATGAAGACGTACACTCCCGCGGCGGAAGACATCTTCTCAATGCCCACCACGTCATCCTCGGCGAGCAGCGGAATGTGGGTGCCCCCGATCGTTCCAACCATAATCCCAAAGAACACGCTGCACGACATCAGTCCCCAGAAGCCAGCAGCAAACGTGAAGGCAAACAGAGACACCGTCAGCAGGATGACGCAGATGAGTTCGATGTAGATCTTCCGGATGGGCTCTCGGTTGAGCACGAAGCCAGCGCCGATCCTCCCGAACACCTCGGCGATCGCCATGGTGGACAGGAGGAAGGCAGCCCGGTCCTGATCGATGCCCAGACTGATGCCCAAGGGAATGATGTACAGAGAAGGTGCAAAGAATCCCAGCGTGGCAAAGAGGCCGAATAACGCATAACAAATAAAACTCTTCTCTTTCAGGATCGAGAAGTCCAACAGGGGGGCTTTCTCGGCGGTGTGCGCGGAGCCCGTCCTCCCCAGGGTCCGCGGCGTGTCGGCCTTGGGCTCGGGTTCGGGGTTAGCATGACTAGGCACATTTTTCGGTGAGGTAGTTAGTTCCACTCCTGAGTCAATGGAGTCTATTGAGGTGCGCGTTTTCTCATTTTCAAGCATGTATTGCACTTCTTTCCGGTTCTCCCGAATCTCGAGGGTGACCGTCTTGGGGGACCCTGATCCTCTGATGACGATCGGCCTGAGCAGCGCCCCGCAGACCACGATGTTCAGCTGCAGCAGGCCCACGAAGAAGAGGCTGTACCTCCAGCCAATGCGCTCCTTCAGGGCTGTGATGGCTGGGAGAGGCGGGAGCAAGGAAGCAACAGAATCCAAGGTCAATCAGGCACCCAAGGACGGGGAAAATAGCAAGAAGACACCTGGCTGCAGAGTTACCCAGAATTCGTCTAAAATGCTCTCAGCAGTGAATCTGGGCCAGCCTTCCTCCTAGGTTCTGTGCACTTGGGAAGCAGTAAGGCCGTAGACTTACTTGGTACACAGTAATTGTATGGAAAGCACAACTTTCCAGCCCGGCTTTCCAAAAGCGTTTGAAGAGGGCACTCTTCCAGGTAGAGGCGCTAGAAGTGAGACAGGTTTGAGCCGGACACCAAGGTTTGGCCATCAGCAGCCTGCAGGCCGCTCCGACCCACTGCCGGTCCTTGTCACTAACGTGTACCTGAACCCGGCTCTTTCATTCACATGGTCCAAGGACGCTTTTGTGCCCAGCAGCAGGATTCGGGACTTGGGACAGAGACTACGCGATCTGCACAGCCGGAAAGATGCACTTTGTGACCTTCTACAAAACGAATTTACCAACCTCAGAACAGCGTCATTGACACATCCGCTCGCTCCATCCTGAGGCATAATGGATCGAATGAGAAATAACCCTAACGGCTCGCATGGGTGTCCTGGAATTAAAGGACCCATTCTCCCGTCCCCACCTGCAGCGCGTCTTGTGCTGCAGCTCTGCTGCTTCCTGCCACTGAGGTGGGGCCTCGGCTGCTGGCCAGCGGCAGCCCTCAGGGCAGCTCTGGACGTGGGAATGTGGGGCCGAGGCCATGGCCAAGGCCAAGGCGAGCACGGAGGTCTGCAGTCCCAGTAGGATCATGCAGGTACCATAGAGCATCGTCCCAAGCATCTAGGAAAGGTTAAGCGATGTTCCTCATCACCTCATTCTCCTCTTTCGTAGGGGACAGTCGAGTCTGGTGGAGAGTCGGTTAGCCAGGAGACTGGCCTAGTGAGCGAGCCCCACGCTCCTTGGGGGACCTCATCTGTTTTATTCGTAACCTTGCTCCCCCATTAATATCGAAAACTTAAAGTCACAAAATAGTTTATGCTTGGGTATTTCTAAATACCCATTCCTCATCTGGCATTAATTGGTCTAATTTTCCTTTTTCTCTTTTGCATTTCTTGAATGCCTACAACATAGCTGGGGTGGTGCCTGGTGCCAAGGCACAGACCGACTAAGACACACTCTCCCCACTCATAATCCATTGAGTCTCTCTTCAACATTTTATTTTTAAAAATGTCAAGTCCAGGGCTGGTGCTTTGGCATGGCAAGTAAAGCCACTGCCTGCAGTGCCAGCATCCCTTATGGACACTGGTTTGAGTCCTGGCTGCTCCACTTCTGATCCAGATCTCTGCTATGGCCTGGGAAAGCAGTGGAAGATGGCCCAAGTCCTTGGGCCCCTGGAAGAAGCTCCAGGCTCCTGGCTTTGGACCAGCCCAGCTCTGGCCATTGTGGCCCTTTGGGGAGTGAATCAGTGGATGGAAAACCTCTCTTTCTCTCTCGTTCTCTCTCTCTCCTTCTTTGTAACTCTGCCTTTCAAATTAAATCAATTAATTAGTCTTTAAAAATCTCAAATCCACAAAGTGGAGAGAAAGACACCTATGAGGGGATGCCTGCCCTTTGCCCAAATTCAACAGTTGACATTTTCTTTGCCTCTCCACGCCAGCATGTATTTCTGTATGCACACTCGCATTGGTTTCTCGGAACCATCTGCAAAGTTTCAGGTGTTATGACACATCACCCCTAATTACTTCTGCCCACATCTCCTACGAACAAAGGCAACTCACTGACTCGTTAATCAAGAAATGTCTCCAAGGTTATCTGCTCACTACTTTAGTTAGTTTTCTCAAAATTCACATAATGATGGTAAGATAGGAAATAAACCAGGGCTAAAAATTTTGCTCACTAGGGCAGGCATTGTGGTGTAGCAGGTTAAGCCTCTGCTTGGGACTGCCACATCCCGTATCAGAGCGCCTGGTTGAAGTCCAGGCTCCTCCATACTTCCAATCCAATTTCCTGCTAATGAGGTTGGGTGGGAGGCAGTGGCTAATGGCCCAGTTACTTAGGTTCCTGTGGGAGGCAGGATGGAGTTCCTGGCTCCTGGCTTCAGCCTGACCCGGGCCTGGCTGTTGCTGGCATTTGGGGAGTGAAAAAGTAGATAGAAGACCTCTCCCTCTGTCACTCTGCCTTTTAAATTAATAAATCTTAAAAAATTTATTTTTGCTGAGATTATCCACATACACAGATAATAAAACTAACTTTATTAGCCTACTTTAAGTCCACACTGAACGTAGCTCTCTTGACAAAGGAGAGGAATATTAGCATGAACAATTTCAAACCATTAAATCATCTTGGAATACACATCAAGAAAGCCACACCACTGAATATGTGCCATGTATCTTTCTATTCCGTAAAGCTGGACTGTTACTAAAATGGTTTGAACTCCTAACATAGGAATTAGGGAAGATACATCTTAAAACTGTGCTGTGGAAGAGAAAACAAACAACCTTTCATTAAAATATTGTTTTATTTTTTGCATCTACTTGAAAGGCAGAAAGAGAGATCTTTTATACCCTGGTTCACTCCCCAAATGCCTGCAACAGCCAGGGTTGGGCCAGGCCAAAGCCAGGAGCCCAGAATTCTATTTGCGTCTCCCTTGAGGGTGGAAGGAGCCCAAGTACCTGAGCCACCGTGGGCTGCCTGCCAAGGTGCAGCAGCAGGAAGCTGGACCAGGAGCGGAGCAGCTGGAACTGGCACTCTGATACAGCATGCGGACATCCCACGCAGTGGCTTCACTCATGGAGCCACCACGCCCGCCCCATTCCGTATGCAATCAAAATCATCCACACTGTGGGCAAAAGTTCTCTTAGCAAGAATACCTGAGGGCAGGCTTCATGTTCCCCACGCTGTAGCCCACCTACCTGGTGCGAAAGCAAACACAGCAAAGCACTCTCCCGTGGAGGCGACCGCCGTGACTATGGAGCGTCTTTTGTCAAAGTACTGGGAGAGAATGGTGACAGCGGGAAGAAAGCTAAAGCAGTATCCCAGACCTGTGAGGGAGAGAGCCACGGAGAGCAGTGAGAACCACGCGCTGACCAGCGCGGGAAGGCTGCACGCAAAGGGCCTGGATTGTTGACTTTTGAATCGCACGTTCTGGAAATCAAGTAACTCATTCTGGAAAAAAGGTGACGTAGCAAAGAAAAATGGGTTTTATTGCCGGTCTGGGCAAGCTGCTCCATTTGTTTTGGGATGCTAGGAGTATCAAAACTCTTTTCTATTTTTAACTTATCTGCACTTAAAAAATTTATGTAATGAATATAGTGTTTATATAAGGGTACTTTTAAACGTTTGGAAAATTCAACTAAAAGATAATGTTTCTTTTGGTCAAGTTTTTTCATAATTATCATTTTTCATGAACTTTTGAAAGATATCCCATATGCTTGCACTGCAAAATTTTTTTGCCCCAAAATCAACTTCTTTTAATTCCGTTTTCCCAAGAACTTTCCAAAGCACCCTCATGTTAGACTTGTATTTAGAAATAAGTCTCTGGACATGTATTGAAAGGCAGAGAGACACACAGAGAGAAACAGAGCTCCCATCTGTTGGTTTGCTCCCCTAAATGCCTGCAGTGGCAGAGACTAGACTGGGGCTGAAGCCAGGACCTAGAAACTCAATCCAGGTCTCCCACAGGGGTGGCGGGAACCCAATTCCTTGCACCGTTACTGCTGCATCCCAGGTCTGTGCTGGTAGGAGCTGGAATCAGGAGCCAGAGCTGGAAATCAAACCAGGCGCTCCAGTGCAGGACTCGGGCATCCCAGCTGCTAGGCGAATGTCTGCTCCTGGGAAAAATGTTGAGTGTGAAAATCTCAACTTGTACGTGTGTGTATGCATGTGTGTATATAAATATACCTACGGACAGGTGTGCATGTCACAGGTTGATGCTCAGGACCAGAGTGTTCCAGATTTCAGATATGCCTGGGCTTTGGAATCTCTGCATATCCGTAGGGAGATATTTTGGTGATGGGAGCCAAGTCTAAACATGAAATTCATTTATGCTTCATACACAGCTTATACATGGAGCCTAAATGTCAATTTTTTTTTTACCATATTGTAAATAAGTATGCGTATGAAACAAACCTTTCATGATGTGGAATTCTCTATTGGTGGCATCATGCAGGAGCTCAGAAAGGCTCGAATTTTGGAGCATTTGAGGGCGTGACTTTCCGGATTAGGATACTCAGCTTCTTAGTAGCAGCACTATGGTGCAGCAGGTTAGGCTGTGGCATTGTGAATCGGAGCATGGTTCAAATCCCAGCTGCTCCACTTCCAATCCAGCTCCCTCCTAATGCGCCTGGGAAGGCAGCAGAAGACTGCCCGAGTGCTTGGGCCCCTGCCACCCAGCAGGAAGCTGGAATCATGAGTGCAGTCAGAACTTGAACCCAGGCGCTCTGATATGGGATGCAAGCATCCCAAGGGGCACCTTAACTGCCAGGCCAAATGCCCCCACGACAGAACTTGTGCGCTGAGGAGGAACACTTACCTGAGAGGACCCCGATGGTGATGTACATGTGATAGACCGCTTGTGAGAAGGAGGCTATCACCATCCCAGTGCTGACCAGCACTCCTCCCAACATCACCGCCACCCGGTGTCCACAGCGATTGCTCAGGACTGCGGACAGGGGACCTGCAGGAAGAACGCAAAGGCTTCGTTACTTACAGGGGTCTGGGGGTGAGCTGCAGTCACCTGCTAGTCTGGGGCTTGCAGACTCAGTATGTCCATACAATGGCTGCTTAAGTCGATTCCGCAATTATGCTGGCAATTATTCAAATCAGACAAGACGTTTCAGGCTCTCCAAAGAGAAAGTCAGGGGCCAGCATTATGGTACAGCAGGTTAAGCTGCCACTTGCAATGCCAGCATCTCATATCAGAGTACCAGCTCAAATCCCAGCTACTGTGCTTCCCTGCTAATGCACCTGGGAAAGCAGCAGAAGATGGCCCAAGTACTTGGGCTCCTGCCACCTATGTGGGAGACCCGGATGGAATTCCTGGATCTCGGTTTCAACTTGGCCATTGTGGCTACTTGGGGGAGTAAACCAGAGGATGGAAGTGCGCTCTCTCTCTCTCTGTCTGTGACTCAGCCTTTCAAAAGAATAAATACATAGAGCTTAAAAAAATAAAGAGAAAGCCAGGGTAACAGTAAAACAACTTATATATCAGTATAAAAACTGATATTTTTAGATAAGAGGTTTTGACTCACAATGAGTGTCTACAAAGTCAGAGATGCATTTATGTTGTTTATGTGATCCCACGACAAAAACTGGGTTTTCTGTGATGACCTGAATAATTTTTTTCTCTATACTCACCACTTTGGATTCTTTTTCAATTTTTATTTCATTTATGGGGGTGGGGGAGAGAGAAAGCTCCCATCCTCTGATTCACTCCTCAAATGGCTGGGGCTAAGGCGGGCAGAAGCCAGGAGCTGGAAACCCAATCTGGATCTCCCAGAGGTGGCCGGAACCCACTAGGTCACCCATCCCGCACTGCTGCCTCCCAGAGCCCACATTAGCAAGAAGCTGGAACCAGGAGCTGGAGCTGGATCCTGAACCCAGGTCCTCCCACGTGGGATGTGGGTGTCCACAGCTGGCATCTCAACTGCTGGCACAAACGCCCACCACTGGGCTCTTTTTAAAAAGCTCCATTTGGGAGTCAAAAGCTGGTTAGTTTCATGTGAGTTTCCTGAAAGTGATATAGAATGAAAGCAGGGTGAATTCTTGGTCATCATAGGAAATTAACTTCCTACTTATATATTGCTTTATATCAACTTAAGCCTACTGATAGGTGAACCATTGAGACTGGGGCTGGGAAGAGCAACATGGAACATGCTGGGTAGAAAGGGAAGAGAAACAAGGATTCCACATTGTGGGGTTAGTGCATGTGTTTCTGTTATGTTTCGTTATTAGAATGCACACTAATATTGAATGTAGCTCATAAGGAGGCCACCACTATCTTTTCAAGCCAGTGTGTCAGCTCAAAGCAGTAACAACTGGAATAATAGCGCTGAGAATTATCTTCTGGTATAAGAATATTAACAGGAAATTTCTAGTTGACTACAAAATTAGCTTTGGTTATAAAAGAGCTGAAACTTAAGCTTTGGGATTTTCTTTTTATTTAGATTACTGAGTGTAACATTTTGGTACTAATTCACTTAAATGATTGTCCTGAGAAAACACACATGCCGCGATGTAAAAATTAGGCATGTTAATGCCCAATGAAATCTACACGAGCGTGAGGACTGATAAATTCCCACTTTACCCAGTGGATAAACACACAAGGAGATGCTTTTTAAGACATCAGATGGTCGGCAGTGAATTAATGTTAAACAAGGGCTTTAACTTAGCGTTAACTTCATACATGATTGCTCCATTAGGGCATTAGGGTAAAGTTAGGGAAGCTTAAATTCAGCCTGGTTAACTTTTGAGATAAGGTCAACGCTCAGAAAACCCTTGGCGTTGCTTCTGGCAGATGAACTCAGGAGCTCTAGTGTGTGTTCAAATTACGCCTATGTGGAACCAAGTAAAAATTAGTTTGCAAAAGTGATACTGAAATACTGTGCAATGATGCATTAGCGAAGTCCTGTAGGGAAGCAGGTGTCTGGAATTTGGTTTCCTTAGGACAACAGGAGGGGGCTTTAAAAAGTCCGTGGAAAAATGAAATTCAAAGGTAAGTTAATTTGGTGGCAAAAAGTTTTTGAAACCCCAGGAGCTGGCACTGTGGCGTAGCTGATAAAGCCACCGCCTGCAATGCCAACATCCCATGTGGGTGCCAGTTTGAGTCCTGCTGCTCCATGTCCAATCCAGCTCTCTGCTAATGTGCCTGGGAAAAGCAGCAGATGATGGCCCAAGGCCTTGGCTCCTGCACCTACACGGGAGACCTGGAAGAAGCTCCTGGCTCCTAGTTTAGGCCTGCCCCTGCTCCAGCCATTGTGGCCATTTGGGGAGTGAACCAGCATGTGGAAGATCTCTAACTCTGCCTTTCAAATAAACAAATACATCTTAAAAAAAAAAAGAGAGAAATCCTCAAGCAGTGTTTTCATAATCTGTATCCCATGAGCTTTCTGAGACTCCTCGTATTTGCCATCCTTTCACCCAGATGATGGTTCTTCTTCGGGTCTGCAGCCTGTCTGCCAAGCATGCTTTCTGAGACCGAGGAGTGAGGAGCCAAATGCTCCGCGGATTTGCAGACTGACCACATCCTCAGGGAACCGGGTTTACTGCTCTCCTTTGCGGAGTCCCAGGAATGGACAGAGGTGGCTGGTAAATACGTCTGTTTAGTTGAAGGCACTCAGAGTTGGCGAGAAGGCTGTTCACTGTAGTGCCTCTTGCTTCTTGCCAGTCCCCAACCCGTATTCCTTTTTGAGACGAGAACACACATGGGCAAATTAAAAGGGGCTGTGTTGTGGTTGGGCTGAAAGGCGTACTAACCTGTAAACGTTAAGACAAACACACATATTGATACTATCCATGAGATCCTGCTGTTGGATTCATCAAAACTGTCCATTAAGTCATTAAAGAAGACACCAAAGGACTTGATGATGCCATAGGTGAAGACTTCAATGAAGAAAAAGGAAACAGCTACTACCCAGCCCCATCCTCCATCAGGCACTTGAGTATACACATTGGTTCCAGAACAAAGTGTTGATTTCTTTTGGGTCATTCTTAATCTGAAACAGAAAGTGAAAAAAAAAAAAATCAGAACAGCAGTAGCAGGAGGGCCGAAGATGCTCATACTCTTTGGCAAACAACAGATCAGAGCCCCCTCACCACCACGGCTTTGGTGTTGACTATTTAAACCATGTGCTATTCATATAGCATCTTTGGACAACTTTCTCTCCTTCTCTAATCTGTCACCTGTCTTTGTGTTGCATAACTTGGAGGTAAGAATTCCCGGTGACATTGAAAAAAGAAAAAAGGGAATCAGAGCAGAATATTGGGGATACTCTGAAGGAAGACAGTGTGGTCACTAGATCAAGTATTGATGCTGACTTTGAAGGAGACAGCCCAGGAAAGAAAGACTAGATTGACAAGGGAATGAAACCTGGCTTGGGCAGGGAGGGGACCTTTAGCCTAATGTGTAAGGTGCCTGCTTCCCACACTGGAGTACCTAAGTTCGAGTCTCAGCTCCAGCTTCTTGCTAATGCAGACCCTGGGAGGCAGTGGTGATGGCTGAGTAATTGGCTCCCTACCACCCACATGGGGTAACCTGGATTGAGTTTCTGGCTCCTTGCTTTGGCCCTAGCCCAGCCCAAGTCCACTGTGCGTATTTGGGGAGCGCATCAGTGAATGGGAACTCTGCCTGTCCATCTCTGTCTCTCAAATAAATCAAATAAAATTTTAAAGCAAATGAAGTCTAGATAAAGGAGGTGAAGCGCAAACACAGTATTTCTAGCACCTTCCCCAGGATAAGGGGTTAAGATGCCATGTGCATCCCTGCTTGATGCCCCTGGACGTTCAGGTCATCCAGCCAACTCTGCTTTCCACTCAGTGAGCAACACTCTGAGGATGTGTGCCCCACGTGGCTGTGCCTGCACGGACAGAATGTCACCGTCAGTCAAAACGTGAGCATTCTGTCTTCTGGAGTTCCTCAAGGTTGACCTGGTATATTAGCAACCGAGCATCCCAGCACACGATGAATATTCTAGAATATAGCGACTGGTCTGGGCACCAGTTACCTTAGCCAAGTTACCCCTGACCTGCCTGTGCCTTTCCCAGTTGCAGCCAACACCAGAACAAACCGAACCTGTGCTGTGACACCTCCAAGGAAGAGGAGACCCTGCATGTAACACTGGAGTGACGTGGGTCGAACTTCTGGATTGGGCTCGCACAGGGATGCCGTCCCTTTCAAAGCCTCTGCAATTTCATATGCTCTGGATCAGTGGTGTGAATTCATAGTCCAACTAAAATTAATATTTATAACAACACACGAGTTCATGATTGCAGAGTTCTTAATGGCCACTAACCTTAAGTTTAGGAATTCTTTATACACCATTGTATACAGGTGAATTTTCAAAATGCCCAGGTGTGTCCTTTTTCTAGCCATCCATGGTTGCATTCAAGTTGTAATGCAAGGCAACTGAAAAATGCATTTTCAAGATTTGCCAGTAGGGCTGGTGCCGCGGCTCACTAGGCTAATCCTCTGCCTTGTGGCGCCGGCACACTGGGTTCTAGTCCCGGTAGGGGCACCGGATTCTGTCCTGGTTGTCCCTCTTCCAGGCCAGCTCTCTGCTGTGGCCAGGGAGTGCAGTGGAGGCTGGCCCAAGTGCTTGGGCCCTGCACCCCATGGGAGACCAGGAGAAGTACCTGGCTCCTGCCATTGGATCAGCACGGTGCGCCGGCCGCAGCGTGCCGGCCGCGGTGGCCATTGGAGGGTGAACCAACGGCAAAAGGAAGACCTTTCTCTCTGTCTCTCTCTCTCACTGTCCACTCTGCCTGTCAAAAAAAAAAAAAAAAGATTTGCCAGTTTCTGATCTTAAGACTCAGATCCTGAATCTACTCCACAAACCTCTAAAAGCAGCAAATCTGACCTCATGATATCATGCATGTATTCTTCGTGCCACTACCACCAGACCCTCGTACGTGGGAAAGAGCATACACTGTGCACTGACCAGGAGTTGCTTGAATGAAACAGAGCACGCGGTGCTTCAAGAAGCGCATGCTCCCTAGGGCAGAGGCCTCTCTCTGCTTGTCCGCGCGTGTTGATGCGTCGGCCTGACAGCCAGTGGAAAGGTGTGAAGGGCAGTGAACCACGGCCGGGGGCAGGCTGGGCAGCCGCAGAAGGGACTGCCATTAGCGGTCCCCAACGTTAGCAGTTGAGCTCAAACAGGAAGCAGGCCCCCCCCCCCCCCCCAGCAAAGGCACACGAGTGAGGTTTTCACAGCATCCCTCCCGCACCGGCCTTGCAAAGGTCACTCTCAAGATGAGGCAGCTGGGCCAGCGGAGTGAAAATGGCAGCAGGCTTTTAAAATCCAGAAGGCCAAAATAAAATTAAAAAACAAACAAACAAACAAACAAAAAAAAACAAAAAAAAACAAGGACTTCCCAGTGTTGGCTTTAGGAGAGCAGGGAGGGGGCACTGGTGGGCAGGAGGGCGGTCGTGGTGGCAGGAGGGCGGTGGTGGCGGCGAGCCGGCCGCCTGCGCCCCTTCCATCCCACTCCCCTGGCCGGCCATCCCTGCAGGCTCTCCCTCGCGAGGCCACGACTCCTTTCATTGCCACTTAACTGGCTCCGTGTGTCTGGTACGATTAATCTTTGTGAAATGCTGCACAGTCATGGCATTTTTCGGTGGCTTTTCCTCTTCCTGGAGGAGAAAAAGCCACTAAGCAGCCCGGCTCTCAGCGTCCTGCCTAAGTGGGCCCCAGTCTGCCTTTGTGGCCTGATTTCTTCTGTTCTAAGTCTGGACTCTCTGACCATGGTCCAAATGGGCCCCTCTCGGACCCTGGTCTCTCCCGGTCTTGACTTTGGCCATATCATCTCCCCAAATCCTCTTTGCATAATGCTTCCTCCAACCAACTCAAGCTAAGGGGCTTTTCTCCTTTGTGTGTGTGAGAGGTCTCATTTCAGGACGGGGTGTCACTGACCTTTATGTATTTATGCTACTTGCTCAATTAAACACACGCTCACAAAATCTGGGGCCTAAATCTCTTTTCTAGCCCTCTATACCCTGCACTTCACTTTCATTGATTTTTTTTCCAACCAGGTTCCAGAGCCTTCATTTTCACTGTAGGAGTGCTCCAGGGAAGAGACTATGAGATGGTCTCTGCCCCCACAGATGCAAATATGCTTCTGATACTAATGCAGAACCTTAAGGCTGAAATGTGTCCTATTGAAGTCTTTCAGCCAACCCTTCAGAAATGTCAGCACGGTAGTCAGGCCTAACTGGCTACCAAGTCCAACATCATATTAGCACAACGGTTCTAACCCAGAAGGTCTTCATGGAGGGCTCAGGACCAACTTGAATAAAAATATATTGGGATAAAGCTTGAAAAAGGCCCCCAGGAGGTGAGCTGAACCTCTCTGTAGCCTACTATCACCGCGGGATCAAGAGATAAATCATTTTTCGGTTGGACTGCACACAGATGAATGACCTGGGCTGCAGTTTTGAATGAGCTGAGCTCACGCCCCATGGTGGGAAGGCTCCCTGTCAGCACAGATTTCAGTTCTGCGGATGGCTGCCCTCTAGCTCACTCTCCTGCCTTGCTGGGTGGCCAGTGGTTTGCAGGATCAGCCTGCGGCCCCCTCTTACAATTGCAGAATGCGGAAGCGGAAAGGGAGCTTGCTGCTCATCTGTGCAAGTCCTCTCTGTAAAATTTACTCATTTTGCAAAAGAAGGGCACTGAGCCCCACAGCCAGGAAGGGACTTGACCCAAATGATCCAGAAGCAACTCTCCCGCTGCCCAGGGCTCCTGCGGAGCAAGCCTCCGGGACAGCCTTTTAAAGGCCCAGGAGGCAGTTGCTTTCCAGAGATGGAGAAACTGCATCCAGATCAAAGCTTTCCCTATTGTGCAGAGGCCTGTGAACCCTTTGGCACTTAACTGTGGGACCTGAGAAAGTCACTTCACCTCGGTGGGCCTGAGCCAGTGGACAACCTTGACGCTCCATTCAGCTTTAACAGTTGATGCTTTGGAATTTAGCACTGAGTTCTAAGAGGGTATTTCAAAAGGTTCACCAAAAATGGAGTTAGGCCAAGTTTATTTTGGTGCAAAAAACCCCGAAATCCATGCATATGAGGGATCTTGGGAAAGTTTAAGAAAAATGTGTAATACTGTGGGGTTGGCACCTAGCGTAGTGGTTAAGGGACCACTTGGGACACCCACACCCCATACTGGAGTGCCTATTTGAGTCCCAGCTCTGCTCCCAACGCTAGCTTCCTGCCGATGGACACCCTGGGAGGCAGCAGGTCCCTGCTACTCACGTGGGGGACCCGGATTGAGTTCCCAGCTTCTGGTGTCGGCTTGGCCCAGTCCTGGATGTTGCGGACATTTGGAAAGTGAATCGGCAGATGGGAGATCTCTGTCTCTCTCCCTTTCAAATAAAATAAATTAGTAAATTAAATGATGCACAGATTTCAGAAGTTTTTGCACGAAAGTAAACATCCTTTAATTCAGTTTTCCCACAAGCTTTCTGAAGTGTCCTTATATTAGTCAACCTATTCTTCGGGTCAAACGTGTGACCCAAGGAGAGAGCACACATTCTAGATGTGTGCAGGTTCTTGCACACCTGTGTGTCAGGTAGCTGGCCACTGACTAGATCTGATCTACGACAGCTGATAAAACTGGTGGATCTTTTGATTGCCCTATTTCTTTAATTTTCTGAGCCCCTTCTGGGTGATCAATTCCCTTTTTATTTTTTTCCCAAACTCTGCTTTATGTATGTACTTCTCTACTATAGCAGATTCAAATAAAACTTCCCGTACATTCTTGGGTTTTTGAAGGACAGCAATTTTCTTTCTTATAAGGATCATCCTAAAGGAAAGATGATACCTTAAGCCTACTCCTACCCTAAAAAGTTTATGCCTTTAGCATCCTATGTCCTATTATGCAAGCATTGGGCTTTTAAGAGAAGACTACTGTATAGACTAATGATAGAAAAACCTGGTTCCTAATACTTCCTGGCTGCTAACACCTGCATTTTGCATGCAAGATTGCGCTTGCCAGGACCTTGGGAGCAGTCAGCAGCTCTTTGCAGATCCAGGACCTGGCACAGCCCTGGGCACACGGTACCTGCTCACTAAAAGTTGGCCACGTGAAGCCTGAGTCTTATGGCGCCTCAGAGGCAAGGTGCAGCTGCTTCCTTACACAACCACTATCTCATAGATGCTTCTTTCTTCCATCCATCTAGCAGACTGCTGGCCTCTGCAAATAAAGCAACTGAGGCCTGATTTGTGAGTCTGGTTACTTAGAAGCTTCTGAAAATTGCAGAATATGGAAATAACCTGTGCATTTTGGTTTTATGGTCGTGGGAATTTATCGGAAGGGAAAGGATATCCATGGGCGGTGAGGGGATCTCAGTGGCTGGCACGGCCAGGCAGCCCCGAACCACCCTGTAAGACAAGGAAGGCTACAGGCCTTGGAGAATCCCTTGGCCTTCTGAGCATCCCCAACTGGTAAACAAGGGAGCTGACCTGGATTGAGAGGACCTCAGATCTCTTCCTGCCTGGTCTGGTAGGTATTGCCCTGGCTTTGTTTTCGAAGTCCTCGAGCCATATTTGTTGTTTCTGTTTGCCATTAACTGGTGACACAATCTTAGGGAAATCACTTCATCCCTAAATTTCATCATCTGCAAAAGCGAGGGTCTCTCGGGCCTCACCCACCGGACCTGTCTGAACAGGGGCTTCCTCCCACCCTGATGTTTTCCGCAGGAGGCATAACGGCAAAGACCGCTGGGCCACCTGCCGTCTTTCCTAGAGCGTTTGGTTGGCTTAAATAGTCCCTTGGATGAATGGCTCCTCCTCCAAGTGTGGAAATCCGCTCTACCTGGGAGCTTTACTTAGAGGAGAAGAGGCGACCCGAGGGCATGGAAAGTGAACGGGACTGGATTACAGACTGGGACGGTGCTATCCAGGGTCAGTTCAGAGCAAAGTTCAAAATACAGGCTACTCATGGAGGCAGCGCCCGGGCCAGTGCGCTCTGAGCCTCCCCGTTCTTCTTAAAGGCGTAGCCGGGAGAACCGCTTTTGACAAGTTGTTTCTGGTCCCTGTTGTCAAAACCAGTTTGTATCTACCGGGTGAAGTTCATTTGAATTGTCTATTTAAAAAGAAAAAAAAAAAAGCCAAATCTAACCTGGAAGGCTGCCCCAGCGACACTGAATCATTGCATACAACCGATTCACCACTTCACCAGACCGTGATGTTGAAACCTGAGCCCCTAATTTAAGTGTCCTCCTCAGGAGTTCCACTGAGGAAAGTCTTGTTTTGGAAACCACAGAAGGAAAACTCAGGGTTAGCCCGGCACTCATTAAGATAGAAGGCGCTTTTCCACTCGGCTGCGTTGTTTATTTACATGCTGCGAGTTTCTATCTTGGGCACCTTTCCCTTAATTAGGAGAGATGTTCAACTACATTCATCCACAGGATGTATTGTTAATCCCCCCCCCCCCCAAAAAAAAAAAATCCGGCCATGGCATAGTGCTTGGGACACAGCGAGAGGCATCACTTAAAGAGACTTCTGCATAAACCCTGGGCATTTTTCCCCTCAACCAAGACACCCATCTTAATGGGATTTACCAAAGCAACAGTCCTAAGAGTCCTGAGACAATCGCGACACCAAGGTGGAAATCTTTTCCTCCGAGGAGGAGCTGGCGCGCAGGAGCTAACTGTGCAGCCAGAACCGGCTTGCAGGTTGACAAGTTGTAACTGCTCTTCCCCAGTGGGCTCCAGGGAGCTTTTCACCGAGACGGACGCGCGCGCCCCCCGCCCAGCCTCCGTGTCGGGGCACATGTCACGCGGCACCTCACAAACTCCTAGCACCTGCCTGCCGCGGTGGGGGAAACGAGCAGAAAACATCCACCCCGCAGGAAAACAACCCATTTCCTCCGCTGCACCGGCGCTGCACCGGCGCTT